AACAGACCAATCACAAGTAATGAAATTCAAACTGTGATTTTAAAACTCCCAACAAACAAAAGTTCAGGACCAGATGGCTTCACAGGCAAATTCTATTCAACATTTAGAGAAGAGCTAACAGCTATCCTTCTGAAATTGTTCCAAAAAATTGCAGAGGAAGGAAAACTCCCAAATTCATTATGTTACCAAAACTAGACAAAGATACTACAAAAAAAAAAAAAAGAAAATTACAGGCCAACATCACTGATGAATATAGATGCAAAAATCCTCAACAGAATACTAGCAATCCAAATCCAACAACACATTAAAAGGATCATACACCATGATCAAGTGGGATTTATCCCAGGGATGGAAGGATTTTTCAATTCCTGCAAATCAGTCAATATGACACACCACATCAACAAATTGAAGAAAAAAAATCATATGATCATCTCAATAGATGGAGAAAAAGCTTTTGACAAAATTCAGCACCCATTTATGATAAAAAAGTGGGCATAGAGGGAACATACGTCAGCATAATAAAGGCCATATATGACAAACCTACAGCTAACATCATACTCAACAGTGAAAAAATAAAAGCATTTCCTCAAAGATCAGGAACAAGACAAGGATGTCCACTCTTGCCACTTTCAACATAGTTTTCAAAGTTCTAGCTACAGCAATCAGAGAAGAAAAAGAAATAAAAGGAATCCAAATTGGAAAAGAAGTTAGATTTTCAGTTTGCAGATGACATGATACTATACATAGAAAATCCTAACGACACTACCAGAAAACTACTAGAGCTCATCAATGAATTTGACAAAGTTGCAGGTTACAAAATTAATACACAAAAATCTGTTACATTTCTATACACTAACAACGAAAGATCAGAAAGAGAAATTCAAGAAACAATCCCATTTACCATCACATCAAAAAGAATAAAACACCTAGGAACAAACCTACCTAAGAAGACAAAAGACCTGTACTCCAAAAACTATAAGACACTGATGAAAGAAATCAAAGACAACATGAACAGATGGAAAGATATACCATGTCCCTGGACTGGAAGAATCAATATTGTCAAAATGATTATACTAACTAAGGCAATCTATAGATTCAATGCAATCCCTATCAAATTACCAATGGCATTTTTCACATAACTAGAACAAAAAAATCTTAAAATTTGTATGGAGACACAAAAGACCAAGAATAGCCAAAGCAATCTTGAGAAAGAAAAGTGGAGCTGGAGGAATCAGGCTCCCTGACTTCAGACTATACTACAAAGCTATAGTCATCAAAACAGTATGGTACTAGCACAAAAATAGAAATACAGATCAATGGAATAGGACAGAAAGCCCAGAAATAAACCCATGCACCTATGGTCAATTAATCCATGACAAAGGAGGCAAGACTACATAATGGAGGAAACACAGTCTCTTCAATAAATGGTGCTGGGAAAACTGGACAGCTACATGTTAAAAAAATTAAATTAGAATATTCTTTAACACCATACACACAAAAAAAAAACTCAAAATGGATTAAAGACCTAAATGTGAGACTGGACACTATAAAAACTCTTAGAGGAAAACAAAGGATGAACACTCTCAGACATAAATCACAGCAGAGTAATGGAAATAAAAACAAAAATAAACAAATGAGACCTAATCAAACTCAAAAGTTTTTGCACAGCAAAGGAAACCAAAAACAAGACGAAAAGACAACCCTCAGAATGGGAGAAAATATTTGCACATGATGTGACCGACAAGAGATTAGACTCCAAAATTTACAAACAGCTCATGTGGCTTAATATCATCAAAACAAACAACCCAATCAAAAATGGGCAGAAGACCTAAATAGACATTTCTCCAAAGAAGACATACAGATAGGCAAAAGCCACATGAAAAGATGTTCAACGTTGATAATTATTAGAGAAATGCAAATTAAAAGTACAATGAGATGTCACCTCACACCAGTCAGAATGGCAATCATGAAAAAATCCACAAACAATAAATGCTGGAGAGGGTGTGGAGAGAAGGGAACCCTCCTACACTATTGGTGTGAATGTAAATTGGTGCAGCCACTATGGCGACAGTATGGAAATTCCCTAAGAAGCCAAAAACAGAGCTACCATATAGTCCTGCAATCCCACTCCTGGGCATATACCCAGAGTAAAACATGGTCCAAAAGGATATATGCACCCCAATATTCATTACAGCGCTGTTTACAATAGCCAAGACACGGAAACAACCTAAATGTCCATCGACAGAAGAATGGATAAAGAAGATGTGGTACATGTATGCAATGGAATACTACTCAGCCATTAAAAAGAATGAAGTAATTGCCATTCACAGCAACATGGATGGACCCAGAGACTGTCATGCTGAGTGCAGTAAGTCAGACAGAGAAAGAGAAATATGGTATGATATCGCTTATATGCAGAATCTAAAAAAAAAAAAAGTTACAAATGAACTTATTTACAGAACAGAAACAGACTCACAGACTTAGAGAACAAACTTATGGTTACCGGGGGAAGGGTGTGGGTCAGGGGACAGTTAGGGAGTGTGGGACTGACATGTACACACTGCTGTATTTAAAGTGGATAACCAACAAAGACCTACTGTACAGCACAGGGAACTCTCCTCAATATTCTGTAACAACCTAATTGGGAAAAGAATTTGAAAAATAATAGATACATGTATACGTATAACTGTATCACTTTGTTGCATACCTGAAACTAACACAACATTGTTAATCAACTATAATAAATATAAAGCTGAAAGTTAAAAAAAAACTGATGAAAGAAATAGGGCTTGAAAAAAACCCTATTATACAGGAGTTTTCCTTCTAACAGTTTACTAATTGCACATCAGCCAAGACTATCACATTGGAAACAGGGATAAATTTATTAGGTAGAGCTAGACATTGTAAAAAAAAGACTCTACCTGATAACAAATACAATTTTACTTGCAAATATTACTAGCATATAAAATTAAAGAGGTAACAAATTCTTATAAAAATAAGATGTTAAATATTTCCAATGTATTATATTCAAAAAAGCAAATGCTACAAGGCAAACTTAATGTACTACAAAAGAAAAGTACATCTAGTGTGGGGAATATATCAATAACTGTGTAATATTTTTGTATGGTGACAGATCATAACTAGACTTATCGTGGTGATCATTTTGAAATGTATAGAAATATTGAATTACTATGTCATGTAACAGGAACTAACATAATGCTGTAGGTCAATTATAATTCAAAAACAAAGAAACTCAGAAAAAGAGATAATATTTGTGGTTATCAGAGGCGGGGGAGGCAGAATTGCAAGACAGCAGTCGACATGTACAAACTTCCTGTTATAAGATAAATAAGTTCTAGTGATGTAATGTATAACATGATAAATACAATTAACACTGCTGTGTGTTATACAGGAAAGTTGTTAGGAGAGTAAATCCTAAGAGTTCTCATCACAAGGAAAATTTTTTTTCTATTTAATTCTGTATCTATATGAGAAGATGGATGTTCACTAAATTCATTGTGATAATCATTTCATGATGTACATAAGTTAAATTCATTACGCTGTACACCTTAAACTTATACAGTGCTGTCAGTTATATCTCAAAAAAACTGGAAGTTGACAATGGTATACCTGGGATTTAATTCAGAACTCTCATTAATTTATGGGCTCACGTTAAACAATTGGTATTAGACACAATTATCTATAGGATGAAAATACGGTGAGTTTCAATAAAGTTTCAATAGCTAATTTTCTTAAAAACACTTTACTTAAGAGGAGACCCTTCAGGGATACTAAGAAACTATAAAGTGTTTCTTTTATCGTGCATTTTTTTCCCTGCTGTAAGTCTAAAATTCCACTGTGACTTTGAAGGAATACTGAAGGGCACAAATTAGAAAGCTTTTTATTTAACTATTCCTACTCTACCCAGGAAAGCAATGAAGGTTTAACAGTGTCTTGATAGTATCTGATTGAGGCCACTTGTACAAATATAAGCCCACTTACAGTTTTATATTGTAATTAAAGATAATTATTTCTGGGAAAAGGACAATTTGTAAAAAAAAAAAATGTCTTTCATTATATGCAGATAGTACCTAGTGACCAATTGAAAGATTATGTCTACAGAGTCACAATACTTTAGAGATTGCCCTCATAAGAGTGGCAGCTGGTTTCTTGTATACATCAAAGATATCAGTCTAGTTTCCTTTTAGGTTTTCCTCCTCTATGAAAAAGACTATTTAAAATATGAAAACAGCTGTGTTCCAAATGAAGTACAAAGAATTTTTACACAGTGTCAGTGAAGGACCCCGTTTCTTGTGAATAATTTATAAAATCATTCAGAAAACAAAATACCTCAACTAGTTTGAAGTTATTAATAATCCAAGAGACCCTTGAAGATGTTAGTTTCACATTTGACTAATGTATAAATTTGTTTTGGTGAAAGCTTTTATAAATTATTTTACGATCTTTATAAGAAGAGACAAAAAGGAGAAAAGAAGTCAATTCATTAACCCAACAGGCAAGGAGGCCTACAGTGAATTTTCAGAAGTCTGGGATGTATTTACCTTTAAATTTGGGCTAATAGTGGCTTGTATTGGCATCCTCCTAGAGTCGAGAGAAATCCTAATGAATAAAGAATGTATTTCATAGTAGGAGGATAGACAGTGGGAAGCTAATAATAATAATCAAGTTAGCAGTAATATCACTTACTAGACATATCCATGGGAGTGACATTTAGAAAGAGTCAAACTAACATTATAACTTTATACCTGTATGCCCAGCCCCAACAAAAAAAAAAGAAAGAAAATAATAATATTCAAATTTAACTTCTGGATTTTGTAAACAAATCAGGAGATGTATACAAATGGTAAATTTAGCAATTTTCTTTGTGTCACTAAAAAATCTCTTTACTTTCATGTATAAATAAAGTTAGTTAAAAAAATATTATTAAAAATGCAACAGACAAAAATTCAATTGGCAACAGTTTTCTGAGGTTCACTAACCTTTAGGTTGAGTATCAGACATTACAAGTGAAATGCTATCATCATCTCTTCGCTTTTCTTTAGTGTGTGCAGCCTGCTTTGCATAATTATTGTCTGTCTGACTTGGTTGTGAACTCCTGCAAAACAAAATAATATTATACTCAATTCTTCTGAACACAATGAATTTAGAAGCCAGCTGACATATATTCACGATAAAAATAACAGGTTACAAATGGCATCCTATATAGCAGAGGATGTGATCTGAACAGTAAAAAGAATATTAAAATATGACTTGAGAAATAAGTTCTCATTCCTGTTCTACCTTTAAGTTCTCCATGCTTCTTTGGAAGGAAAAAAACAAGATAAGCACAACACAGAATTGTGCACATGCAAAATGAACAAAGAATAATACAAGTATTAAATACATCGAAGAGGTCTAAAAAGTAAAAATTCCACGAACACAAGTACATGATAATCACACTTATGTGTAATCAAAACATAAGTCAAAGGTAATTGTTAATATGTTTCAAGCATGGTTCACATATCAAAAGTTATGTACAAAATAAAGTTTGGGGCTTCCCTGGTGGCGCAGTGGTTGGGAGTCCGCCTGCCGATGCAGGGAACACGGGTTCGTGCCCCGGTCCGGGAAGATCCCACATGCCGCGGAGCGGCTGGGCCCATGAGCCATGGCCGCTGAGCCTGCGCGTCCGGAGCCTGTGCTCCGCAGCAGGAGAGGCCACAACAGTGAGAGGCCTGCGTACCGCAAAAAAATAAAAATAAAAAAAAAATTTTTTTAAATAAAGTTTGGAGTGTAGTTACAAATTTTACCTACAGAGAAAATAATTTAAAATATAACCTACTGGTTAAATACATAAAATATAATACTGTGTGAAAAACAAGTTTGGGATGATGAGCATAATATCACTATTAATGAAAACATAATACAATAGTAGTAGGGGATTTCAATACCTCACCCCATTTTCAGTAATCATTAGGTCATCCAGACCACACACAAAAAAAAAATCAAAAAGGAAACATTGGATTGAACTGTAAACTGGACCAAATAGATCTGACATGCATTTATAAAACATAAACACAGAACATTCTCCATGATAAGTCACATGATAGGCCACAATGCGAGACTTAGCAAATTTAAGAAGACTAAAATCTACAAAATATCTTTCCCCACCAAACAGTATAAAATGAGAAATCAATAACAGGAGGAAAGCTGAAAAATTCACAAGTATATGGAGGTTAAACAATATGCTACTGAAAACCAACTGGCCAAAGAAAAAAATCAAAAGGAAGATCAAGAAATATCTTGAAACAAATGAAAATGTGAGCATAAAATGTCAAAATCTATGGAATGTTCTACGAGGGAAGTTAATAGCAATAAATGCCTACATTAAAAAACAAGAAAGAACTCCAATAAACAACCTCACTTTACACCTCTTGGAACTAGAAAAAGAACACATGAAGCCCAAACTAAGCACAAGGAAAGAAACAACAAAGATCAGAGCAGAAGTAAATAAAATAAGAAAAACAACAGAAAAGATAAACAAAACTAAGAGCTAGTTTTTTCAAAAAATAAAGTTGACAGACCTTTAGCTAGACGAACCAAGAAAAAAAAGACTCAAATCAAAACAGATCATCAAGAGACTACAATAAGTAATTATATGCCAACAATATGGATAACCTAAGAGCTGGTTTTCTGGGGGCAAAAAACCTTTTGGCTAGACTAAAGGAAAAAAGAGAAGACTTGTAAATAAAATCATTACAACTGGTAGCACAGAAATATGAATATCATATGAATAAAATATGAATATCATAAGTGACTATTACAAACAATTGTACATCAAGTCATATAACCTAGAAGAAATGGACAAATATCTAGAAACATACAACCTACCAAACTGAATCATGAAGAAAAAGAAAATCTGAACAGATCAATAACAAGGAGACTGAATTAGTAATCAAAAACCTCCCAACACAGAGAAGCCCAGGACCAAATGGTTTCACTGGTAATTCTACCAAACAATTAAAGAAGAATTAATGACAATCCTTCTCAAACTCTTCCAAAAATTTTAAGAAGAGGGAACACTTCTATACTCATTTTGCAAGGCCATCACTACACTAATACCAAAGCCAGTTAAGAACACTACAGGAAAAGAAAACTATACACCAAAATACCCTTAATGCATAGAGATGCGAAAATTCTCATCAAAGTACTGGAAACCAAATTCCACAACACACGTTAAAAGGATCAAACACCATGAGCAAGTGCAACTTATTGCAGAGATGCAAGAATGGTACAACATCCAAAAATCAATCAATGTGATAAACCACATTAATAAAATAAAAGATAAAAATCATCTGATCCCTCAAAAGATGCAGAAAAAGCATTTGACAAAATTCAACAACCTTTCATGATAAAACCCTCAAAAACCTGGGTATAAAAGGAACATACCACAACATAATAAAGGCCAATGTCACAAACCCACAGCTAACATCATATTAAACAGTAAAAATTAAAAGCTTCACCTCTAAGATGAAGAACAAGACAAGGGTGCCCACTCTCACCACTCTTATTCAACGCAGTACTGGAAATCCTGGCTAGACAAATTAGACAAGAAAAAATAAATAAATAAAAGGCATCCAAATCAGAAAGGAAAAAGTAAAACTGTCATTATTTGCAGATGATATGACCTTATAGAAAGAAAACCCTAGAAAATCCAGCAAAAAACTGTGAGAATAAATGAATTCACTAAAGTTGCAGGATACAAAGTCAACACACTACAATCAGTTGCATTTCTATACACTAACAATGAACTATCTGAAAGAGAAATTAAGAAAAAATACCATTTATAACTATAGCAAAAAGAATAAAATTATACTTATGAATAAATATAACCTAGAAGAAGAAGAACCTGTACACTGAAAACTATAAGATACTGATGAAAGAAACTGAAGACACAAATAAATGGGAAGATATTCTATACTCATGGATTGGAAAAATTAATTTTGTTAAAATGTTCATCCTACCCAAAGCAACCTACAGATTCAAAGCAATCCCTATCAACATTCTAATGGCCTTGTTCACAGAAATAGAACAGTCTTAAAATTTGTATGGAACTACTAAAGACCCCAAATAGCCAAAGCAATCTTGAGAAAGAAAAACAAAAGCCAGAGGAATCACACTTCATGATTTCAAACTACATTACAAAACCACAGTAATCAAAACAATATAGTATTGGCATAAAAACAGACACATAAATGAATGAAACAGAATAGAGAGCCAGAAATTAATCCATGCATATATGGTCAACTCCTGTATGATAAAGGCGCTAAGAATACACAATGGGAAAAGGAGAGTCTCTTCAATAACTGATGTTGGGAAAACTTGACAGCCACATGCAAAAGAATGAAACTGTATAAATATCTTATACCATATACAAAAATCAACACAAAATGGATTAAACACTTAAATGTATGACCTGAAACCATACAACTCCTAGAAAAAACCATGAGGGTAAGTACCTTCACAATGATCTTGGCAATGATTTTTTGGATTAAACACCAAAACAAAGGCAACAAAAGAAAATTAAAAAGTGGGACCAAAAAGCTGCACAGCAAAGGAAACCTGCAATAAAATTAAAAGGCAACCCATGGGGCTTCCCTGGTGGCACAGTGGTTGAGAGTCCGCCTGCCGATGCAGGGGACACAGGTTTGTGCCCCAGACCGGGAAGATCCCACATGCCGCGGAGCGGCGGGGCCCGTGAGCCATGGCCGCTGAGCCTGAGCGTCCTCCGCAACGGGAGAGGCCACAACAGTGAGAGGCCCGCGTACCAAAAAAAAAACAACAAAAAAAAGGCAACCCATGGAATAGGAGAAAATATTTGTAAATCATGTATCTGATAAGGGAGTTAATATCCAAAATATATAAAGAATTCATACAACTCAACCAAAAAAGTAGAACAATTTCATTAAAAAATAGGCAGAAAAACCGAACAGAGGTTTTTCCAAAGAAGACTACAAATGACCAACAGGTACATGAAAAGGAGCTCAACATCTACTAATCATCAGGGAAATGTGTATCAAAACCACAGTGAGGTATAATCTCACACATGTGAGAAAGACTATTATCAAAAGATAAGAAAGAAGTGTTGGCAAGGATGTGGAGTGCTGTGGGAATGTAAATTACTGCAACCACTATGGAAAACAGTATGAAGGTTCCTCAAAAAATTAAAAATAGAACTAATATACGATCCAGCAATTCCACTTCTTAGTATGTATCCTTAGGAAACAAAAGCACTCTCTCAAAAAGATATACACACCCCCATGTTCACTGCAGCATTACTTGCAACAGCCAAGACATGGAAACAACATAAGTGTCCGTCAATAGATGAATGGATAAAGAAAAAGTGACACTGACACACACACACACACACACACACACACACACACACACACACACACACACGATGGAATATTATTCAGTCATAAAAAAAGAAATCCTGCCATTTGTGACAACATGAATGAACCTTGGACAAAGACAAATACTGTACAATCTCACTTATATGTGGAATCTAAATTTAAAAACAGACAAACACACACCTAGATACAGACAACAGATTGGCGGCTGCCAGAGCCAGGGGCATGAAATGACTGAAGGTGGTAAAAAGGTACAAGTTTCCAGTTGTAAGAGAAATAAGTCCTGGAGATGTAAGGTACAGCATGATGACTATAGATGACAACAGTGTACTATATATTTGAAAGTTGATAAGATAGTAGATCTTAAAAGTTCTCATCAAGAGAAAGAAAACTGGGACTTCCCTGTTGGTCCAGTGGTTAAGACTCTGCGCTCCCAATGCAGGGGGGCTGGGTTCAAGCCCTGGTCAGGGAACTAGATCCCGCATGCCACAACTAAGAGCCAGAGCAGCCAAATAAATAAATATTTAAAAAAAGAGAAAAAAAACTGTAACTATGTGCGGTGATGGATGTTAACTAAACTTACTGTGTTACTCATTTTGCAATATATACATGTATGAGATTATGTTGTACACCTAAAACTAATACGATATTCTGTCAGTAACATATCAATAAACTAGTTTTTAAAAGCAAATTGATAAACAATTGG